TAGGGAAGTGTAAAACAATTTTAATTCCACAGATGTCTTTATGACATGGCACTTGTTTTGGTTTCTTTATTCCAAGACAGTGCAGCTATTGAGCTCAGCAACCTTTCTTTGAAGAAAATGCACCTGGGAACTTCTCTCTTTCTCGTTCTCTCAGCACTTGAATATTGAAACCAACTCTCTTGTTTTCTTCTAGGTGGAAACAATCCCTATTTTTTTTTTTGAGATGGAGTTTCTCTCTTGTTGCCTAGGCTGGAGTGCAGTGGCGCGATCTTGGCTCACCGCAACTCCTGCCTCCCGAGTTCAAGCGATTCTCCTGCCTCAGCCTCCCGAGGAACTGGGATTACAGGCATGCGCCACCATGCCCGGCTAATTTTGTACTTTTAGTAGAGACGGGGTTTCTCCGTGTTGGTCAGGCTGTTCTCAAACTCCCGACCTCAGGTGATCTGCTCTACTCAGCCTCCCAGAGTGCTGGGATTACAGGCATGAACCACTGCGCCCAGCACCTTTACACCTTTTTAAACACCTTTTTAAGAGTTCTTAAACACCTTTTTAAGAGTTCTCTTTTGCTTAAGAAAGAAAGAGAGAGAGAAATGATTTAGGGTGAGGGCTTCTTGTTTGTTTTGTGTTTATATGCTCTGCCTCAGTTTTCTTGTGTTAACTTCAGGATGAAGAATAAATAAGATGACATTTAATGTCATCTCATAAAACTTAGCACATTTATTGTCCAATTAGTTAAGGCTCTTAATATATTTCTGTTCCCTTGTTAACTTACACCTTGGGCCTTGTTAAATCTTACAATTTTGCAGGGAAAAAACAAGGAAATATAAATACATCTAAAGAAATGGCGAATTCGTCTGTAAAAAAAAAATCAATTCAACAATTATTCTATGAATGTTCTAGGGATGATTACAGTGTTTTCCAACCGTCTGGGCTGGCACAACATGGAACTACTACTTTCCCAATTTCAGAAGCGTCTTACATTTGGCATCCAGAGGGAGCTGTGTGACCTGGTTCGGGTATCCTTACTAAATGCTCAGAGAGCCAGGGTTCTCTATGCTTCTGGCTTTCATACTGTGGCGGACCTTGCTAGGGCAAATATTGTGGAGGTGGAGGTGATTCTGAAAAGTGCTGTGCCTTTCAAAAGGTAAGAGAATACCTTTACCTACATGGGCTTATTAAATTTAAAAAAATGTTAATTTAAAAATAGTAGATAATGTATTAAAGTATTTTTGTGTTAAATAATCTTATTATATACTTGGTGTAAGTGGAAGAAAATATGGCTACTTTTTCCCCCTTGCAGATTACTTTTTGTTTTGTATATTTTAAAAATAATACATGACTTAAAAACATTCCTACTAGAATGTCTGAGTGGGGCTGGGCACAGTGGCTCACGCCTGTAATCCCAGTGCTTTGGGAGGCTGAGGCTGATTGCTTGAGCTTAGGAGTTCAAGAATAACCTGGGCAACATAGCAAGATCTCATCGCTACTAAAATTAAAAAAAAAAAAAATAACTGGGTGTGGTGGCATGTGCCTCTAGTCCCAGCTACTTGGGGGTGTGAGGCTGGAGAGTTGGTTGAGCCCGGGAGGTTGAGGCTGCAGTGAGCCCTGATAGCGCCACTGAACTCCAGCCTGGGTGACAGAGTAAGATCGTGTCTCAAAAAAACTGAGCAAAAGTTTGGTATCAATGCTTTCTGCTTTGATGCATTTTGATTTTGATCT